TCATATCACATCTCGGCTAGAGTTTGGCAAAGGCATGTGAGAGACACAACAAAAACAGGAAGATTCTATGGTCTGATGACACCAAAACTGAACTTTGTTTGGCAGAAACCTAAGCACATCACACTGAGAACACCATCCCTACAGTAAAGCAGCTGGTGGTGGTGGCAGCATCATACTTTGGGGATGCTTCTCTATGGCAGGGACTGGAAAACTCATAAAGACAGAAGGAAAAATGGAGGTACAGAAAAATCCTGGAGGAAAACGTGCTGCAATCCGCAAGAGTACTGGGACTTGGAAGACGATTCAACTTCCAACAGGACCTGAAACATACAACTAAAGCCACACTGGAGTGGCTTAAAACCAAAAAGTTTAATATCCTGGAGTGGCCCAGTCAAAGCCCAGACCTCAATCTAATTGAGCATCTGTGGAATGACTTAAAAATTGCTGATCACAAACAGTCCCCATCCAACTTGATGGAGCTTGAGCAATTTTACCAAGTAGAATGGGCAAAAATTCCAGTGTCAAGATGTGCAACGCTGATAGAGACTCACAGCTATAAATGCTGTCAAAGGTGATCCTACCAAGTATGAACTCTGGAGAGGGGGTGAATACTAATACATTCAATTATTTTCAGTTTTATATTTAATTAATTTAGTAAAATGTCTGGATTTTTTTCCCCCACTTTGACATTATAGAGTACTTTGTGTTGATGAGTGGCAAACATTCTCAGTTAAATACATCATGGTTCCATGCTGTAACACAATAAAATGTGAAAATGTTCAAGGGGGGTGAATACTTTTGCAAGGCACTGTACATGGTCGAATATGAACTTTTACAATTCCTTAAGATACTATAGACCAAAGCTGTAAGTATGCTTGTCTAAAAATATTTCATTTCACATCACAGAAACTTCTATAGAATCTTAATGGCATTTCTGCAAAGCTGTATTTAAGTTAAATGATACTGCAATGAAAAAACAGCATATTTTAAGTTTGGACATAAGGTTTTAATGGCTTCTTTAGAAAGTATGTATTTTTTGAAAATACATTTAAATACCTCTGAATCTCAAAACCAGGTTTATAGGCAATGTAGCACCCGACTACATTATTGGGATAAAAAAGGCTTTTATGCAACTGTAAAATACACAACACTATTTTAGTGACAAGATGGCTCCCCGGAACACTTAATATCTCATTTGAATAGGTTGACCTGTTCGTCAGTTCAGTTAATTGGCTAGTCACCATCTTTGAAAACTGTTCACCTTGCTAAATTCAATATCATAATGTTCTAACATAATGATGCTCCTATTACCATATGGACAACTTAGTCATATTTCATATATACATAACTGCTAATTTAACACAATGACGTGACAAAATTGTAATGCATGGTTGATGAACATGGGATGTTTTCTTGACCTGAATTCTGACAAACCAGACTTTGAACAGCATTTAATGTATATACGGTATATTTTGGTGAACATTTAGCAACATGTCAGATGAACAGAAAACAAAGCTGAGGTATTTACACTTTGTATGTGTTCATAATGAGATACTTTTATTGTAACAGTTTTATCTTCTATTGATGACGGAAGATCATATTTAACTTTTACCTTTATAACAAATTCTGGTAATGGCATTCACAATGGTATAGTTGTTTCAATTAATAATGTCTCCACATGCTTAATTCATTGTAGTAAGCAGAAAATATAAATCTGTGATTTGGTATGTTGTAATTAAAGTCAACTGCTGTTCATATTGCAATTGACTATTTGAAGTTAGCAATGAGTTCTGGATAGATTTTTTATAGATAATATGCACTGTTTTTTTTTTTACATTAATTCATAAAAAAGATGTAAACCATATGATTTTATCACCTGTTTCTTTTTATGGAAGATCTGAAAGGGGACTTTCACTGATATTGAAACATTAGGAAACATACTGATATACACCAATTGAGACTACTACAGAAAACCTGCTTAAGCCTAATGTAATTTTCAGATCATTTCCGTGATTTTATTCACCAGTGGTGCACTGTAACAAAAAAATGTAGTGCACATAATATTGCTCCAATTTTTTATCATTAATTCATACGTAGAATTGGTCACAAATGAAAAAAATCATTTTTTAATACAAACTGCTTGTAAAAAGCAGTTTTACATTAGCCCCTTATCTCCATTTAAAAAAAGGGTGCCTGAATGCAGCAGGTGTTATAAGTTATGCACCACTGCCATGGATTCTCTAACCTAACCTGAAGCTGTAAACCTGTCACCTTCCATACTGAAGCTTAATACTCAAACTCTCTGCTCCACACGTGAGTAGTTCACAAAGAGCCGCAGAAAGACAAGGGGAAGCCTGTGTGAGCTATTTACTAAAAGCACTCAGACTCAGATTTCTTGGGGAACCAAACAAGGAAAGGAAAATCTAGCCTTTTTCAGTTTTGAAGGGGGACTTGGCTTTTTCTAGTTATTAATAAAAAGGAAAGTGCTTAAAACTGCAGTACACGAGTAAAGGCATTAGTATTGAAATGACTCGTTACTGATGACAATACATTCAGTAAAACAGGCAAAAGAGACTGGAAGAACTTGAACCAAGGATATCCTGCCAGCGAGGATGGAATACTGATCAGAAACTTCAATGCTTGTCAGGGTGTGGAAGATTCAGTGCCCTTCCCAATACTGTACCAAGGAGAATTCAGTGCCTGCATTGTCTTCAATATCCAATTGGGAGCAAAACAATCAAAACCAGTTTCCATTTCCACAAATCCAAGCTTGAACTACGGCCAAAACCTAAGGGGCCTTTAACTTCTTGGGCCTTGGGGAGGCACTGTTTTCAGCCTTAATCACTCCGTTCTCATGGTGGCCTCCTGTTGGGACAGAAAAAAAAAACAGTTACATAAAAGTTTGACTTTTCATTTCACCTTGTAGTATGTTTATCTCATATATGCAGGATATACAGCATGACAGATAATGTGGTGCCATGGATATATGCCATACCTTGAGGTGAAGGGTCACAGTAATTTGCCAGGCATAACTCCTGGCACCGGAAGGCCCACTGGGGTTTACAATTAAAACTCCACTAAAAATTAATTCATTAATTCATGTATTCTATTTAGTTTGGAAGGCAGTTTTTCTCTTCATTTGGCCTATGTAGGCATTAAGAGTCAAATACTTGGTAACATTCTTGGGTTTTCTGGGTTGTCTAGATGTAGGTCTCTGAAATGCCTTATCTGTAAAAATGTACATGGAGAAACTTGTGTTGTATGTTTATATTGTGTGTAGTGTTTATTGTCACTGTTAATAAATATTTAATTGTTTAATAAATTTTGTTTAACCCAGTGTGCCGGAATTATTGTTCTTTTCACCAAACCTGTCAGAGAACAAAGAATTCACATGCCTCTAATTATACCAACCACTTGGTATATTATTGACTAAGCCGTTTGGTCCATTCGTGTTGTAACCCCCCTGACTTGTGACTATCTTTCCATCACGCAAAACTTTTAGTGATAGAATGACCATCACTGGGATTGGTTAATTGGGCAGAACGACGGCCTTTAACACAACAACAGTTGTTACTGTCTAGTAGCCTTACCAACACACAACAATAAAAATCCAAGACAGTGAAGATGTGCCATGACTTGAACAATCACAATCAATCAAAAGAGAAAAGTAGGATGCTTAAAGCACAGCAAAAAAAAAAAAAAAAGGCTTGTAACTGAAACAAGAAATCGCACAAGAAACCTCTGTGGTACAGGAACTCCACAAGCTTGGGCACAGGCCATTCTAGCAACTGTTTAATTGAGATTTCAACCCATTAGCAAAGGATAACTTCACTAGAATCAAGAAAAAGAACATGAGGCACCATTCTCCCTCTGTCATGATCCAGAATCCCACTCACCACTCTCTCTCTTGACAGGCCGGGCTGGTTGCTTGGCAACGGCTCTCTTGCGCGCAGCTTGTTCCTGCCGGTACTCCCTCCAGCGCCGCAGCTGGAACCGGATGAACTTCCAGAGCAGCCAGGCCTGTGTCAGACATACCACGAGGAGGACAGCCAACCTGCCGACAGCACAATTAAAGTTAAGTTGGTCACAGCTCCACTAGTCCCCTCCAAACCCACAGTTTATACAGTACAATACTCTTCCAAGAATGACGAGTGTCTATGAGAAACTCTTTTATCAAGCCTTTTACTCCATATGAGGGCACAAGGTCCATGGAAAACCACAGGGAAGAAACAAATATATAAAAATGAATCCCTTTAGTGTCAGTAAGAACCCACAGAACACAGTGACCCAATACCAATCCTGAATATAGCTGCTTAGGTCAGGTTTACAGGGCAAGAACATCTCATTTGGACAAGATGGTTGACCTGTTGTATGAATTCTGCAGAAGGTTTAACACTGTGACTTTATCCCCAGCATAACCCAAATTATCTTACAGTACATCATTAGCCAAGAGTTAAGGCTTTTGGAATACTCTATCAAACAATAAGAAAGAAGACTGCAAGTCAAAAACATTTAATTTGACAAAGTATACAAATCTAAATGACCAGATGAACAGTGTCAGAAAAAGTCAAATGCAATGGCATTATCAGAACACACCTTATATTAATTGTTTTTTTAGATACGCTTTGCCAATTTTGATCAGTAGAAGCAAGGGCCCATTGTTTTCACATGCACAAATCAGAACTAACTTTTTTCTAGAACAGGTGAATAGGAAGATTCTGCGTGCAAATCAGAGTAAAACTGCCATCTTGAGGTATAAGACTGAAATTGCATGTTTATGTTGTTCACTTTCTTTCCATGGTTTGCAAGGAGGTTTATTACCCTCAGAAAAAAAAGCAATGAATATGTATAAGATCATAAAACCTCAAGAAAGACATTAGGACTTTAGACTTTTCGGGAGAGGAAGTAATATGACGTGCTTTAACTGCTATTTAAACCAGGCCTGGAGTGGTTTACACAGCTGGCAGCCCCTAAGCTACCGAGTCCAAGCTTGGACTTGGGCCTGGCAGACAGGAGTGGAGACATTTACTATACAACTGAAATCGCCTGAATCACTGGGATGGAGCAAATCACATCCACCCACCATGTGGCATAAAATGAGTTTTGTCCCGTCATCTTTTTCATGTAGATTGGAATGATTTGGATGAGGGTGACCATTAACACAAGTGGCAACCTTGGGATTCACCCTTTGGGATTGGTAGATTGGTAAAACCATCGTGTTTAGCTCCTAACACAAAAGAAGTGTATGAAGAATTTTCTAAGACTACAGAAGCATGGTATTTGGTTTGTTTTCAGTTCTTTGAAAGTCTTTAATCTTGCAGCCTGTGCTCACCTGAACAGCAGGGTGTTGAAGTTTCCTGCTTCCCAGTCCAGCCCTTGGTTCTCCACACGAGCCAGGCCAAATCCCACCACCAGGACCGACAGTATCAGAATCATCATGCGAGTGAATATGAAGCCAACCGCCCACATGTCGAACCTGACACACAGAAAAAAAACCCACAATGGTTAAGTAAAACCTCACTGATATAACAATGTGTAACATCTTTAGGTCAGTACAGTCAACAGAATGAAGTCTTATAGAATAATTTTGATGAGCAACAACAAGCAGCAAAGCATATGGTCAGGGCAAGGTGCTTTTAATCCATTGAATTATGAAAAAAATACTCAAGTAAGGCATTGAACGATACAAACTGCTCAAGTTGAGTTCAGGAGGTAAGAGGTACTCACAGTTTGTGATGATTCTCATCAGTGAAATAAAAGAGTCTGGCAATGTGGAAACCAAGCTCAGACAGGTACTGCAGGAACAGCAGAACCAGCCCCACTCGAGTAAAACTGCAGGGAACAAGCAGACGAGACAGGTTAACACCACATGCACATTCTCTGCATTCACATGTGCAAAGACATTCCAGGGAAATACTGGCTAGATTAATTGTGCATAATTACTCTCTTAACTTTGCATTATTGATCCAGGTTGCTGTGACCTTCTAGTGAAGAAGCAGTTGATGTATTGTGGATGAATAATGATTTAATTTATAACTGATCTATTTAAATACAAAAATGTATAGTCTATGCATCTCATATCAAAAAGAAATTCTAGTTTTCCACCAATTAGTAATACTCTGCGATCTTGATTTTCTTAAAGTGAGCTTTTGTTCATTTGTGCTTGTGATTTCCATACTGTTATTCTGTTTATATACATTTGATATAGCTACGGGTCTGTTAAACCATGTAACAGAGAACACTCTCTGAAGCTTTTACAGATGCATTTTTTTCCTGTTATGTTTCCGACTATATGCCTTTACATTTCACAACACAAACATTCCTAACACCTGTGCTAGCATTCTTTCCTTGGATTATGGCTCTGCATTTAGAGAAACACCATTATTCTGGAGGAACTCTTTGACATGAATAAATTTCTATGTGTGGATTACTCTGACTTTGGACACTTGATTTCCTTTTGAACCAATTCAATATCCCCTCAAAATAAATTGTACCAAATACTGGTCCCCGTCAAAGGCGAGTCGTTTCTCCAGTTATTTTCTGCCTAGGAATAACTATCCACTCAATACTCCATAGAGATGATAAAATCAGCAAAGGAGGGCTCCCAGCTGGATAAATCAGTAAAGGCATTTGAAGGATGCAACTCTCCTCCAATAGGTGCTTAACCTCCTGCACATAGCTGCACAGTCAGTTACGTGTGAACCACCACTCAAGTAGTTGAGTCAGAAGAGCTTTCCCTCACTTGCTCACTCTCCCTTATGGGCAGCAGCAAGGTTTATAACTGTGCACCAGGATGTGATAAACAAAAATCTGCTTTTCCACATGGAGTGGGATAATAAAAAATAGAAAACAAATGTTTCTACATGTTTTAGAAAAGCATAGGGCGACTGTCTTAGAATGCCAACAAACTTCAGTACCACACTGAAGTGGGTATTTTGGTAAAATGGCAGTCAGAAACAAATGTGATCTTAGTTTTGGAAAACAAATAAAAAAAATGTAGAAGAAAGACCCTAATCCACCCTTGGGCGGATTATAAGAATAGTTGCTTCTTGCACGTTCCTTGGCGTGTTATTTTCTAGCCATCTTAAATAGAGTGTCAAAAGTTATTATCACAAAAAAAACACCGTAATGCAAGATCTTATTCAGGCGACATGCATTTTGGTACAGTATGTGGCCGAATGTCACAATTTACTCATGTGACCTGGAAAAACTGTAGCATAGTGTAGTTCAATTAATAGATTTAAAAGACATTTACAACTTTTACACAAATGTGATTATCAGATGCTAGCAGCACACACCATGTTTCTTTTTACAAACACAAAGAAGTTTTATTCTAAGAGAGGAACACACCCTGCATCAATAAAGCCACAATTATACAAGGCTGTTTCACTTCTCTCCTAAGCTGGACATGTATGTACAGTACATATTAGACCAAAAATCAGATACTACAGTGGTGTCTGTACTTTAATACTTTATGTCTGGGATACACGGGTATGGTGCTCTCGGACAAGACCTACTTGAGCAGGTAAGCCACAGTAATGTGCAGCAGGTAGAGGGAGATGTATTTCAGCTGACGAGGCATCTCCTCCTGAAAGAGCAAGAATTGAAATGAAGCTTCCCTTTATTTAAGCAATTTCAATTACAAAGCCTATAGTGAAACTGTGTGTCAACCATGCCTGTTACTGTTTTTCTCTTCCCCAAACTTCCAGAGTTTTGCTATTCTTCAGAACGCCACAATGCAGCTGCTTCAAGCGGACAGCGGATCATAAAACCAACTCTGAAAATTCTCTTGAACTTCAGTCTATGTTCATTGTCAGATACGGACTATGCCACAAGAGCAAACATCTGGGGCATTGAGAATGCTTCTTAAATTCCCATTCTTTCCTCAATCCATTTTAACCAAAGTGATCCTTTTCACAAACAACAGAAAAAAATAGGCCAAAAGCCTTTCATAACAGCAGCGCTGTCCTTTTTTGTCCAATATTTTCTGCCTTCGCTCTCTTCACCTAATTAAGTCTTCACCCCAGTGGCCCTTCTCCTCTTTTCTTTATTATTCAATATCCTTCTCATGTCTGTGGTCTCTTTTTCTCCCATCTGCCATCTCCTTGAGCTTAGGTCCACCATTTGTGATCTGTAGGTGACTTATGGGTTGCAGACCTCTTTATCCTACAACTATGAAGACATAACTAGTCACCAATATTTCAACTGATGTCTCCTACTCACTTTCCTCACTTTCTGGAAGTATAGCTCAGGCAATGCATGAAGCCAGTAAGCCAGCTGGAAAAGGTAGAAGAATTTAACCTGGAACCTGAAAGGAAAACAAAACAAGATCTGGTTAACAAACATCCTTCCATTCTACCTAATGAATTTCATTGCGGAGTCTGAATAGCATCATTCTAGGATGTGTCATGAAACAGCCGAGCTTCAGCTCTTGCTCTCCTTGTTTATTGGAATTTAAATGATTGATCTTTGCTTATAGATACATTTTAGAATACTTCACTTAAATTAGCCTCACCAGTTCAACTCCCTCACAGGTCGAATCAGACTGTGTGTTTTCAGTTGGTCTTACTTTATGCTGGCAAGATGACAAGATGGTAGCGCTATTTCAAAATACAGAATTTTGCTTAAGGAAGAACTAAAGTGCCAGAATTGTGCTATTTTATATTCAAGTGAAAATAAGCTGAATTTGAAAACAGAAGCTACCATTTTAACAATGCAAGAGTGATACAAGAGGGGTGAAAAGGGATTCCATTCTGCTTCCTGTTGCCTTGCATCTCCTAT